GCTTATTGTAGTGTTCTTCGTTCGTGAAAATTCTTTCATTGGTAAAGAGGATATTTCTGTGCCTTTCACCTGCGTATCGCGACAGAAGGCGTTTTGATCCATTCACTCTCTTTAATTGTAAAGATTGATTTAGGGCATGTCATGTATATCGACGATGAGCACCAAGTTTCAGGTCTTGTTTTATAATACGCGACAGAGCCCTAGCGGCATTTTTTGCTTCCTAATGGGGTTTCGACGAATTCTGGATTTAACAGCAATAACAGCCTTTGTAGTTCTAACAGCACGCGGCCAACCCGATCTTTTCTGGTCTTTGACAGACGAAATGTTGTTGTATCTGTTGATAGTACGACTATTTGAAGTCGTCGTGGCCTAAAGGATAAGACGTCCGGTGCATTCGTATGAAGCGATGCACCGGTGTTTGAATCCCGCAGGCGGGTACCAATTTTTCTAATGAAATACGTACTCAACAAATGTTAACGATTGACTTCCACGGTGAAGGAATAACATCGTGTAATAAAAATGAAACCCGCAAAATTATAATTTGCGTAATTACTGGTGGTAGGACCGCTTGGGAGTCCACACGGGTAGGTACCACCACCCCGCCTATTTCCGCCGTAAAGGAGTAATGCGTTTCGGTTCGAAGGGTGGGGTAGCCATTGTAACTATACTGAGACCTTTAGAACTTATATCTCGAGGTGGGTGACGCATTTACGTTGTAGATGTCTATGGGTTCCAGTAACCACTTAACATCAGGTGGGCAGTAAGCTCGTCCATCCATTTAAGCAATAAAAAAATAATAAAAAACATACGAACATACGGCTCATACCAAGCTTTTTTTTATGATTGAAAGATTACTGGTGACCCAGAGGCCTTTCCAGTTTCACCAGGACAAGTGGGTGAGCAATGGCTCAGCCAGGAGGGGTGGTATTTGCTAACAACTGCTCCAGTGCCTCCGAAAGAGACCTAACAACTCAAGAGCAATTGCTTCGCGAATGAATCTACTACCGGATCGGAATCGCAACCCGCCGAGAAGATCTGGCGAGAAACTCAGCGGGCTGATGCATGGGCTACCAAGCTTTTGAAGTGTCTGGAATATGACCGACGGCTCCATACCCACTTTGTGCAAGGCGATCACTGCAATCCTATTTTCTTTATCATCCTATTCCATATTGTGATTTGATAATGAACACGAAAATATATGTGAAATGGCGCAAAATCGAGAGAAGTTTTTAAAATAATATAGGTGTTCGAAATTCAAAATAATGAAATTGTTGAAAAAAAGAAAAGTTTTTGGGCAACAGTATTTACGGTCAGACTAGTTATAAGCATTTCTAGATATGTACACCCTTGAAAACATATCTTTATGTCTTTACAATGGGGCTCTGTAGATTGGGATTTTACAGTCTGTAAATATTCATCAATGAAAATTGACCGAACGGCGAAAAAAAAAGTTGGGGCTCGGTTTGCCGACTCGGTGTTATTTCTTGAGAGCTTTGTCATCCATGAGGCATTGGATCTCAAAAAGCTATTTTTTATCTATACTGATAGCCTTGAGAGGCTATTTCAGGTTTTCCCTGACGCGTAGGCGCACACGGGGCTCAAACCGGAGTGTTGTTAACACTGGCCCTAGCAAGAGCAGTGCTACGCAGAATCTACCACCGGGTCGGAAACGTGACCCACTGAGAAGATCCGGCGAGAAACTTAGTGAGCTGTGTCTATGTGTTAATTTACTCGTCGAGCCCTTCTTCGCAAGCGACGGGTTCGATGGGGACGGTGATCGGTGCACGAGGTACCTAAAAGCACCGTTAATGGATCGAGAGGATCCGTAATGACGCGTTTAGGGCAAAAGCTATACTTAATTACCTCGTGAAGAGAACAAAAAATATTTAAAGTAATTTATGTATAGATGAGCTTCGCTTTTCGACATTTTCTCGGTATTTGATGTGGGATCAGTATTGATTTTTTGACTTGTAATTTTAGTAAAGAATTGGTTTTTTTTATCATGCCTCACAATTTTGTTCAAAACCAATGGAAATGAAACTATGAAGTTGTCGTGTTAGTATTAAATTAAATCGTCCTTTGAATTAAAAGTAAGCCTGTACGGTCCAAGATTAGTTATTATCTTTACTGCAACTTTATTGAACCAAATTTTATGTCATTATACGATTTTCTTTTTTTTCACAAGACGTCCTTACATCAGTAGTTCCGCAAATTATAATTTTACGGGTTTGATCTTTATTCCATGATATTATTCTTTCACCGTGGAAGTTTATCGTAAAGATTTGTTAAGTACGTATTTCATTAGAAATATTGGTACCTACCTGCGGCATTCGAACACCGTTGCAGCGCTAATACAAATGTACCGGGTGGTTTACCTTTTAGGCCATTACCACTTCAAACTTCGATTTTCAGCTATTTTTCAACTTAATACATTGACATTACATATGACATCTCAAAAACGAGAGTATTCCCAGAATTCGACACAATATCGACACAGTTAAATTATATAGCAGTAAATACAGATCACAACTTAAGGCATCGGATAGATTACGCGTAACGAAGATTCTGTGCGGTTTGGTTTAATTGCTTTCGTACTAATATCGATTTTAAGAATAAATCACATGGATCATATATCTTTTATGTGACCACGAAACCCTTTGAAGTATTGGTGATATAATACAAGAACTGAAGAAATGTAGTATGAAGAAAGGATGAGATTAAGCGTTAAAGGCTTACGAGGCGAAAATAACTTAGTTACAAACAAGTGTTTGTTGATATTTCGTGAAATTAATAAATTATGTAAAATTGTATAAGATTATTATGGAACTATACTTGAGATCTTAGAACTTATATCACAAGGTGGGTGGTGCATTTGCGTTGTAGGTGTCTATGGGTTCCGGTAACCACTTAACACCAGGTGGGCTGTGAGCTCGTCCACCTATCTATCAAATAAAAAATAAATTAAAAAATATTAATTTATATCTACAGGCAATTTTTCGTTAACGTCCATTAAGTCCAGTTTTTCTCTAAATTTGATTTTGAGAAAGTGATAAAAAACATGCAAAAAAATACATTTTTAAATACGACAATGGAGCGTGTAAATTGCTCCAGAGTTAAAAAACAACGAAAACAGAACAATTCAAAAGTATTCACTAAAGATGAATGTCGTTTTGGGTAACGGTTTTGCTTTTCAAAAATCGACGAAACAAAGAGATGTTCATACACAAGATTCATACACAAAAAAATGTAAAAACAAAGTTTTACTTCAATAAGCAAATTTACATTCAAATTAGATTATAGGTACTTACTTAGTAAACATTTTATGAAATTTGCGTAATTTATTTGTTATAAGCGATAAGATAATATAAAAAAGAATGTTCGAAATTATGAAAACTTGCCGCGTAACTTAACATCTATTTGCGTTGCCCCTCAAGATGATGTCATAAGCAAAATGTGGAATGCACAAAAAAGCCATTGTGTGAAGAATCGTGCCACTAGCTAGCTGAAATCAACGAGCGTTGAACTCTTTTGACTGCCGAGGAGTCAATGTCTGCTATTAGCCAATTTATATGACAGGCTTACGACGTTTAGATTACGTTTATTTATAACCAAATACAAAATGCATAGAATGTGGCTACTTGCTATATCCAAAAAAGCGGTTTTCACCATTTTCGACTGCGTATAAATATGCATGAGTGAATGCAGTTTGAAAAATAATTAAATTATGACCTAAGTCTTAAAAATTATAACAATGTGAGATCTATTCTGAATGGAATCTATTTCAATGGAGACTTTACTGATGGTAATGCCAGAAGCGATTTTTGAACTCAAATGCTTTAGAGCGCTTTATAGATTTTTGTGTCATTGACTTACGTAGCTTAGAATTTTCAGAAATAGTAACTCCAAGTATATTTTTCGCGTGAAATGGTGATGACTAAGCCATACTTGAATCGTAAAAATATCTCTATGCATGCACTACAGTGTGATTCCTTATGCACATATCGGAATGAAGGAATCTATGCTTAATTTTATCGAGGGAAAAATATTTAAAAATGCTAAATTTTTTTTTTTTTTATGGAATTTTAAATTTTTTTTTCACTACTGTGACTCCGGTGTAAACAAAACTGTGTAACTTTTGAACTAAATCATCTATCGCGGTTAAAAAATGCATAATGATTGGTAGTATTTAGGCCTCCTCATAAAATGAAAAATCGAAATAAACATGTTTTTTTAACATAAATCTGTTATTTTTTCATCAATTTTTATAACAATCCTTAAATTTCTCAAAAAAACGCCCCCTTTACCTACTTTTTTATAACTTAAAGTTATTCTACATTGTATTAGCTACTAGCCCATTAGTATAAATTTCATGTTTATAACTCAAACATACCATTTTCTATTAAGTGTTAAAAGATAGAACTCCAAATGTGCCATTTATTGTTTTCTTAAGGATGGTTTATTTGGGATGATATTAATACAAAAGAATTCAATTAAAACCATTTATTATTTTACACAAAATTTAATGATGAGGTCCTCAAAATGTCCACCTCTTTGTTGTAGGCATAAAGCCGCGTGAATTAAAATTCATCGAAATCTTACTTGAAAGGACGATGAACATTTCAATTTCGGGTCTTCACCTGCATGGCAATATTTGTGTAAATTTCGACAGTTAGTAATACCGTCTCTAGTGAATGTCGCTTCGTCCATCCATAGTATGGTTGTTGGAAAATTTGGGTTTTCCATTGTGCCCAATCATTATGGAATTTGTTTAACCGCGATAGATCATTTAGTGCAAAAGTTACACCGTTTTGTTTACACCGGAGTTACAGTAATGAACAAAAAAAATAATATTAATAAACATGTATTTAGTATTTTTTAAATATTTTTCCTTCGATAAAATTAAGCATAGTTTCCCTCATTTCGATATGTGCACATTATAAAGAATCACACTGTATAAGTGTCGAGAATTTAATTTCTGGGATATATTTTTTTGCAAATATTTAAACGTTCAACAGCTGTAATACTTTACGTATCGATAACCGAATAAAACCCGCATGAGTGAAGGTTCTTGACACCTGTGAAACAAAGAAACGAAACAATTAGATAATATATACTCGACAAACCGTATTAAAATTATTTTCGCCTTTAAAAAGCAATGTGGAACGATTTTTAACATTGACTCTTTGAAATGATATCGCAGGATTGGGTAGGATGGCGGCGGTATCTATCCGTTCGGGCTTACTCTATGTTATACCGACATTAATCACAAAAATTATATATTTTATTTTTATTACACATCGTTGTGTGTGTCACTCATATAGACGTAATAAATACGTATTTCCTTTAAAAACTTACTTGATTCATTTGAATGCTGGTGCTGTTATAACGCTGGATATAAGTACTGCTGGTATCTTGTCCTTTAGGCCACGACATGCCGCTTCTGAAATGAAACTTTTCTTGAACGCTACGACTATTCCTTCTCCAAGAGGAGTTTTTAAATGAGTTCTAAGCAGTAGGCAGAGGATTACTTATCGCATATGAGTCCATGAGCTTCGGTGACATTCATTGCAGAAGACTTCCTCACAACTGTTTTAATTTTTAAGCCTTCTGTTGAATGCTTAATATTGTATTTTTTTAAATTTAGGTACACACAGAAATTATAAGAAATAGTAATCCTTTGAAAATTCTCTTCATTGAAAAACCGCTAAATATGATAGAGCTATGTCCATTAAATATCACAATGACAGTACTGTCATACAAATGAGGCCGTCAGCGCAAAAGTGGCCTAACCCACAACTTTTCATATTCGTGTTTATATTTAGTCTGGCCATAAATACTGTTATAATTAAAAATAAACAAAATATTACATTTGAATTTGGAATCTTTCATTTTTATATGATTGCTCATTGAGTTTCCTCATTTTGGCGCCAATACATTGTACAAATAGTAGTCATGGCTGAGTCGCTGGAAGATTTGGGGCAGATGCTCGGTGACCTCAATAGAGTTTCCCAACAAGTGGGCCTTAAAATGAATATGGATAAAACAAAAATCATGTTCAATGTCCATGTTAAGCCCACCCCAGTAACTGTTGGGAACTCTACTCTTGAAGTTGTAGACGAATATATATACCTGGGACAGGCAGTCCGATTAGGTAAGTCCAACTTCGAGAGAGAGGTCAGTAGGCGGATCCAACTCGGCTGGGCAGCGTTCGGTAAATTAAAAAATGTGTTCTCGTCCAAAATCCCTCAGTGCCTTAAGACAAAGGTATACAACCAATGTGTGCTACCAGTGATGACTTACGGTTCCGAGACGTGGTGCTTCACAAGGGATCTTTTTAGGAAGCTCAGTGTCGCGCAGCGAGCTATGGAGAGGGCTATGCTTGGTATTTCTCTACGGGACCGAATCAGAAATGAGGAGATCCGTAGAAGAACCAAAGTTACTGACATAGCCCGTAGGATTAGCACGCTGAAGTGGCAGTGGGCAGGCCACATAGCGCGAAGATCGGACGGCCGATGGGGCGGAAAGATCCTCGAGTGGAGACCACGTACTGGCAAGCGCAGTGTGGGACGGCCACCTACGAGATGGACCGACGACCTGGTAAGAACCGCTGGGTCACGTTGGATGCAGGTGGCAACGGACCGGCCGCACTGGAGATCACTTGGAGAGGCCTATGTTCAGCAGTGGACAATGGACAGGCTGAGATGATGATGATGATGACATTGTACAATATTTTGCGATATTAAAATGGAGTGGGGTGATAAAGAGAACCGAATCGTTGTGATTGCATTACACAAAGTAGGTATGGAGCCAAATGTAATTTTTAAAACTCTCCATACGCTTGGTATTAGTAAAATGTTTGTGTACCGGACTATTAATAGGTGCAATGAGACCTCCTCTGCTTGTAACAGAAAAAAATCTGGCCGTCCACGTAGTGTTCGTACGAAAAAGGTGGTCAAAGCAGTAAGGGAAAGAATTCGAAGAAATCCTGTCCGAAAGCAAAAGATTTTATCTCGAGAGATGAAGATAGCACCTAGAACCATGTCGCATTTTAAAAGATGACTTAGGACTTGCAGCTTATAAGAGACGTACTGGTCATTTCTTAACTGATAATTTAAAAGAGAATAGGGTGGTAAAATCGAAACAACTACTGAAGCGGTACGCAAAGGGAGGTCATAGAAAAAAATTGTTTACGGATGAGAAAATTTTTACAATTGTGCAACATTTTAACAAACAAAATGACCGTATTTATGCTCAAAGCTCTATCCGACTTCACTGATGGTTTGGTGGGGTATTAGCTATGAAGGAGTGACTGGGCCATACTTTTGTGAAAAAGGTATCAAAACATCGGCATAAGTGTATCAAGATACCATTCTTGAGAAGGTAGTGAAGCCCCTTAACAACACCATGTTCAATAATCAAGAATGGTCCTTCCAGCAAGACTCGGCGCCAGGTCATAAAGCTCGGTCTACGCAGTCTTGGTTGGAAACGAACGTTTCGAACTTCATCAGAGCTGAAGACTGGCTGTCGTCTAGTCCCGATCTTAATCCGCTGGATTATAATTTATGGTCAGTTTTATTATAATTTATGGAGAGTACTTGATCTAAATGCCATGATAATTTGGAGTCCTTAAAACAATCCGTACGATTGGCAGTGAAAAATTTACCCATGAAATGAGTGCGTGCTTCTATTGATAACTGGCCTCAACGTTTAAAGGAGTGTATTGCAGCCAATGGAGACCACTTCGAATAAGCTTTTTATACTTAAATTTTTTATATATTTATGTATTAAACTAACACACTGTAAAAGTAATAAATGTTATTTGCCATAGATTTTTTTTTGTTTTCCTTTGTAACAATATTTATGGCCAGACTAAGTATATTGCAATTTATTTAAAACATAATAAATGTTGATACGAAACCGGCCTATCCCTAGTTCCACCCATGGCTTACAGATAGATAGATGGCTTTGTAAATATTATTTCTGCGCGTAGTTTTTGCTTATGAAGCAGTGTAAAAAATTGAAAAACTCATTATTTCCGTACTAACTATAGTAAGCTTAGGCCATTTTTGCGCTGATTGACTCAAAAATATATTATATAATAATGAAATTTTGGACGATTCACGACAACCCGCTGCTACCGTCAAACTCTTCATTCCTGTCGCAAAGCAAATTTTTTTCTCTACCTATGCTCATAGCCTTGAGAGGCTATTTCAGCTTTACCCTAACATGTAGGTGAGCTCACGGGGCTCAAACCTTGCTAAAACTGACTCTACCAAGAGCAGTGCTTCGCAGAATCTACCACCGGATCGGAAACGCAACCCACTGAGAAGATCCGGCGAGAAACTCAGTGGTAAACTCAGTCTATGGGTTAATTTACTCGTCGAGCCCTTCGTCGCAAGCGAATTCTGTGTGTATTAAGCAACGGAAAGTACGAAGTATTTGAAGCATTTGAAGTCGTGGCATAAACCATAAGACGTTAGGTACATTCGTATCTGATGATGCAAATTATAATTTACGTAATTACTGATGGTAGGAAGTCTTGTGAGTCTGCACGGGTAAGTACCACAATCCTGTTTATTGCTGCCGTAAAGCAGTAATGCTTTTGGGTTTGAAGGGTGGGACAGCAGCTGTACTTTAAAAAATACTGAGACCTAATAATTTGTATCTCAAGGTAGGTGGCGGCGTTCACGTTGTAGGTGTCTATGGGCTCTGGTGATCACTTAACACCAAGTGGGCCGTGAGCTCGTCCACCCATCTAAGCAATAAAAAAAGCTTTAACGCATTCGTCGAGCTGGCGATCGTTCAGTTTGTGCGGCACCCACTTATCATGTTTTTTTTACCATTCCAATTTCACGCAAATGTACTATTTTGATATCAACCTTGATATCTGCTGCTAACTACATCAATAGATTGAGTTTTGTCAGTTTCGGCTGTCGCCTTTAATTCGTTGTTGTTGACTTTTTTTTTTTAAGNATAGAATAAGTAGAATAGAATTAGAGTGAATAGAACCACTGCACAGTTCCCGGGCGGCAATGCCTTGCAATTAGGCGCAGGTACAAATTCCGAGAAACACTTGGGCCACAGATGTGCCACGAACAATGATCTATTATCACCGGTAGTCACTTCCGACAAAACAATGAGCACGTCCACGCGCGTCGGTTGCTCAAATCGGAATGAGTCATTTGTACGGCATTGCTATCACGACGGAACCCGTATTCCATAATTATTCGTATTTTTATCTTGTCCGCGTTGATGAAAAATATGCAAATGTACTGAAAACAAAACACTAATCAATAAACAAATGACTGAATTTGAAAACAGAATTCCATATTTTTTAAATAAAATGTATATGAATTTAGAATTTATTGCCATAAATTGCGTTTTAAATGGCCAGTTTTGTAAAACGGTAACTTAATAGTTCAAAACCTATTATTTAAGAAGACTTTTGAGATGATTTGAAAGTACTATATGAGGAAAACACTTTTCGATTTATCCTAAAATGGGTTTTTCTGTAAAATAAAGCGTGTGAAGAAAAGCGTAAAGTTTGTGTTTGATGAAGATAAATAAAAAACACCAGAAAGCCAATCTGTCAAAATTACGGTCAAAGCCCTAGTCAGCAATTTATTTGGGGTCGGCTTATAATATATAGTACTTATTTTAAATTATCTTAGAGCTTTCACAGCCCGAACTAAATATTTCAGTTGTATACTTTTGGTATAGTTGGTAGTAAACTTACACTACTCAGTTAAGCCAGAGAGAAGAGGACGTTTTAGAAAAGAATGAATGAATGTTGATTCGCTCTAATGACATTAAGAAAACGTTCTTTTTCATCTAATACGTAGTTTCTTATTAAAATATTGAATTTGTTTTAAGCACCCTGTGTTTTTCTTATGATGAGTCACACTGAGTAATAAAGTCAACCAATGTTTGAAATAGTTGTTGTACACAGTTCTGAATTGGGTTGCATATTTCGATTTCGTAATTGAAAAATCATGGCATTGGCATTATCTCTGGCAAATTTAAACTATAGTGAGATTTGTCATAGTCAGCATATTAAAAAATAGAATGTGAATGTTGCGATTTAATCATTAATCTAATCTTTACATTCCGGAATTACGACAATACAAAATGTAATTGAATGAGGTTCGTCTGCGTTGACAAGTTTTGCTTTAACAAATGATTAATGTACATAAGAGTCGTCTATTATCAAAGGTGGCAATCTGTGCATTTGGACAACAAAATTTTTTGATATGTCAATACAGATTGATTTGAATATAATCGTCTCCTTCAAAGAATACGGTTCAAAACCTGCATTAAATAAAGGTTAATAGTTAACCTGTTATTTATCTAAGATGTCGTTCCGAAGAGTTTTGTGACTGCCGATGGAATACAAAGTAAATAATTCGTTTTTCTGATTTACCAATCATTGTCCAAAAGTCAGATTGCCGNTTTGAATATAATCGTCTCCTTCAAAGAATACGGTTCAAAACCTGCATTAAATAAAGGTTAATAGTTAACCTGTTATTTATCTAAGATGTCGTTCCGAAGAGTTTTGTGACTGCCGAT